TTGATAAAACACGGCATTTCATATAATTTTATTGTTTTATTCATCCTTAATTATATATCAGTCATACCCAATTCGTTTATATTCACTAATGAATATTTGTCGATCAGCACTCGAGCGGTAATGAATCCGATGAAAAATATATAATACCTCGATGTCGGATTTCATTTTGAAAGCAATGAACAAAAAGTTCGCAATGTCGTCGTTTCTTCGTCACCACCGTCGCCGTTTCTCCGTTTATAAAAGCTTTTCAAATGCGGGATTGAAAGACAGTTAGATAAAAACTATTGCGAAGTAGCCCAAATCATTTCTGATCTCGATTTCCTCGTGTATCCGTAGTATCATCATTCCAAATGTTCATCTTCAAAACTTCAATCGTCTTCAAGTATCCATCCATGATGCAAATATTTGCGGCTATAACATCCGTGCCATGCAGGGATGTCATCATCTTACATACTCCTCGCATACGTAGAGGTGTGTCTGATGATACCCGGTCAATTTGCCTAAAGACATTTAGCCTAACGACAGTTTGCCTAAAGAAACATTGTCTAACGGGCAGTTTTCCTAACGGACAGTTTACCTGAGGAATAGTTTGCCTATTAGGCGAAATACCCATTGAAAAACCGTAAGTCGTTAGGCTAAACGTCTCTAGGCAGATTAACCGGTCACGATGTCTGATGACACTGATTTCAGCAGAGTAATTATTGATGCTATACCAGGGCTGGTGGGCAACAGATTTTTTTTGTGAACGTCGATGGAACACCCATAGGAGCCACCGAAATCGGTCTCCGATGACAACCAACCAATCACCCTTTTTCGATCTCGGGCACAGTTCCATACTAAACCATGCCAACCGTCCTATTCAGTCAGTCTGTTGACAATGAGTAAGTTTTACGTGATGTAATTATCAGACTGATCAATGCAGTCCATTTCCATGTTATGACTTCTTACTTATGGTAGCAATCCCAACTCAAACAACAAACCCTGTGTTGAGATATTCAGTTTCTCAGTTTACATTGCACTCTGTGACCCAATCAATACCTCACTTCAACGTTTTCTTACAATTTTGTTGTCAGTTGAAGCAAGATAGTGTGCTCTCTAGCTGATCAGTTTCCGTCTTTCATTCAGGTTTACAAAGAATATTCTTCACTTCACTACAAAAAAAAAAGACGTTTCTTAGTGGAAAGCACATCACTCGGCATTTACGTACACCGTGAATTAAAAAGAATATCAAGATAAACGAGAATAGATGAATAAATGAAGATAGAATGTTACCCGATCAATCCGCCTAAAGACATTTCGCCTAACGGACATTTTGCGTACGAAACAGTTTGCCTATTAGGCAAAATATCCATTAGAAAAGTGTTCGCTAGGCAAACAGCCCCTTAGGCAAATGTGTCTTTAGGCAAACTGTCGTTAGGCAAAATGTCTTCAGGCAGATTGACCGGTCACGGATGTAATCGCAGCGATTCCTATTCATGCAGATCAGTGCTAGCCATACGAAAGGTAAGAAAAGATATTTGTAAGAGCGATACGTTCATAAAATTTTATTCTGCTAAAGAATAAACATTGGCGCATTTTCTGATATATTCACGATGCATCTCAACAGTAAAGTCTTCTTAACATAAGTCCAATAAAGAAAGTATTTCGCGTCCTCTAAAAGTGATCATCTGATCGACATTCATCGTTTAAAAGCTTTTAAAATGCATATGAACAACAAACACGATGGATGTTCAGTTCAACGATCTTATTCAGCAAATGTTTATATTATCGTATGACTTTATAACAAAACAATGAAAACAACAACAAATAAACATTTTTTCCACGCAGTTCATCAGCATTTCTACGCGATTGAACCAGCATTTGAAGCAATTCTTGGCCAAAGGTCAGCACATTCTTTTGCGACGGGACCGGTAATAGCTGAACCTTTCATTTCACCTTTATTATTCACTATCACACCTGCGTTGTCCTCGAAATATATGAATGTGCCATCCTTTCGACGATACTGTTTTCGTTGCCTTACGACCACAGCTTGCAATACTAAAAACTGCTAGCTGCACATTAAGATCATCA